AGCTTATGTTAATCGTACACTTTAAAGTTTTGAGTTTAGCATTAGAATACTAGAATTATATGACAAATTCATAATATTAATTTACTATATTTCATACTGCTCATTTTAAGTAGCTATATTTTAATACGTATGCTTAAATTATTTCTATTAAAACCTATTCATTTTCAAATATTAGATATAAAAATTTAGCATTTATATTTTTTAAAGATATATTTAAAAAAAAATCAAATCAACAATTTATTTAGTCTTATATTTTAATATAAATTTTAATTTATATAACCAATTAACCTCTGGCATAGTACCAAGGCAATTACAGTGTCTGCATAAATTATACGCACAGCAAGCAGACAATATTACATGCATGCAAATATCCGAACATCCACACCCACACACGCACGCTCAGGAAGCACAATATCCACGAACGGGTTTTTTGCAATTTGCATAAATCAAACAAAGTTCAGATTTAAAATTTACAAATAACAACAAAAACTAAACTTTAATAAAAATGATTTTCTATGAGATTTAACTGGATGAGGACTGCAAATGGATTCAACGTAAATTCCAAATTAAAGCTAGCTTACGTCAATCCCTTGTCAATGATTCGCATCAAAGATTATATCCACGCCATGCATAAGTCATGGTCTTATTGGAATCAAGGCATATTTAAGTTCGGACCAACGCGCGCCCAACAACGAAAACTTTTCCCAGCAAGTTGAGCTTAATTTTCGGGCTGGCGTGAGAGGCCTTTCAAGAATATTGAGTTGCTGATGAATTTATAATGAGTGAACGCCTGTGGGTGTGTGCACTTTGATCAGGACCGCTGATGAGTCTCTATGGACAAGTCCTAGTGCTACAAACACACTCCTGATTAGTAGATATTTGCTGCCTGCGTAATTAGAATATTGATAGTGGAGGTTATTTAACAGCTGAAAACACTTTCTGTTATCCTTGAATGCACAAAACTGTAAAATAACTATTTTTAGTGAACATCGACCTAGACCTGCTCAATGCTATTCCACGGCCAAAAAAGCGCTTGCATTATTAAAAGCCTAAAATGATCCTTGAACTTTGTGCAAGGCGCAACCCCAAGAAAATCAATTGCATCAAGAGCAACTTTGGGTAAGTTTTCCAGAAATATGCTCTCATCAAATATGAGTTTGGCTGGGGAAAGGCTAGCAGCTAGCAGCTAGCGGGATGTCTGGATGTCAGTTGTGCACAGCATAAAACCTAATTACGGAATTTGCCTTAATTAGTACGCCCGACTTAATTACAAAACGGCAAAAACTGCACAGTCAACAAAGGCCACAACAGCAACATAGCTGTGTATGTGTGTGTCTGCGTGTGTGTGTGTGTGTGCGTGTGTCTGCGTGTGTGTGCGTGTCAACAGCTTGTCATATTTAACATGTACAACGCCCGAGCGTGTGCTTTGCTTTTGTTTATTCACATAGAACCCTAACCACTTAGTGACAGCTTGAAAATTTGGGTAACTATCCGAACAAACATTACTTCAGAGCTTAACGAGAAAATTTAAGTGTTAAAGGCGGACCCGAAAATGATGTACGAATATATGTTAATACACCCTGTAGAGTGAACCCCAATTAAATTGGATCAGCTATTGAAACAGTACAAAAGTCTTCAATAAATTCTTAAAGTCTCTAAGGTTTCTGATTATGGCCCATTATCATACTTTTACTGATTGACACAAAAATCTTGAATATCTAAAATCAATGCCCTTACAAAATGCAGATGAGTTGAGCTATTTGAATAAATATATTCACAAATCACCCAAATCGGCAAAAAAGAAACCAGCAAAAAATTTCAATATAAATGAAAATTATTCTGCTGTCCAATGGGGGAAAGAACACCTACAAAAAGCGCCACACACTACCTCCCCCGCCCCCACCCACTTGGACTCGACGCAAAGGTCATGAGCCGACAACAAAGTTTGGCTAAAATTCGAAAAAGGAAAAGCTGCGTCCTGTTTGTATGTCTGTCTGTCTGTCGCCGGCATAATTCTCAATGTCCGCTCGTATAGCTCGGTGGGCGTGTCCGGTGCGTGCCTTTTAGCCCATTTGCCTGCTTATCTGTGGATACCTTTAAACGACTTACAGGAAGTCTCTTTAAAGCTATCTACTCACAGCTAATGAACTTTCCATGGCCAGAGACAATTGAAAATGGGTGAAAAGAAAATTTATGCATAAGGCGGATGTCATTGAGTATGTTTCCATATTACCTTTGGTGCCAATATGCATTTCTGATATTTATATTACACATACCTATATATATCAGATGTAATATAAGGAAGGACATGTCCTTCTACCTTTCATATACATTTCACCCAATTTAAATTGTGTTCAAATATACGTATTCATACATATACATATGTATCGTATTATATATTATACGTATATTATATAGTCTCACGCTGCCTGCCAATTTATTACAATAAAGATCTCTGACCACTATTTAAGAATGAAACCTTTAAACAATTCCCTTTTGTTTTTCTACGCTTCCTGCTTTGATAAATTATGCAGCCAGTCCAAATCTCTTAAGCATATTATTAAAATCGTGTGGCAAAAGAATACAATACTCAGCAATCCATTGTAGTTTATTTGAATATACCCTATAGAGTAAATCAATATTTGTATAGTAGCAGTAGTGACCTGTAAAATAAATACAAGAGTAGCACATTACAGAAATTCATATATATAAATCATATTTTTATGTTATTAACAAAAGGTAAGTTTCTATTTTCACCTTGCCTTAAAAATCACAATGTACCCTAAAGGCCTATATCATCGTGTAGAGGATATGCCACAAAGACACTTAGCTGAAACTACGCAAATGCTGCGTGATATACGCAAAAATATATTCATCATACGCCTCGTCGTCCGCACTGGCAGAGGCCTAAAACTTTTGCACGTTCGCTCGCCTCTCGGCATACGAAATGAAGCACACGCACAAATCGTTGGCATATTCAATTAAGTTTTAATAGACACATTTTGAAGGCAAAAGGGACAATATGAAATAATAAAATCATATTGAATTTTATGAGCAAAGAGAAAAGGTTTTCGGTTAGTTAACCAAAAGTAAAAGTCATATAATGTGAAAGTATTTTATGAATGCGTAAATTGCAATAGACACTGTTTTTGTTGTTGTTGTTTACCCCCATGGCAGCAAGCCATTATGTAATGGAAGGAGAAAAACAAAAATAAAATTATACCTGAAACACTGTAAATTGTATTCAGTTTGCTAGCGCTCAGCTGCCATTTGCAACAGCTGCAGTTAAAAGCTTCGACCTACAGACAAAATGCCACAGCCATGCATACATCTGGCTACCAATGAAGACCTTGCTTGTTGCTTCTCTTTACTACACACTAGCAGAGGGCATATCAGTTTTAAAGCAAACATAAACATAATCTAAAATAATAATTGTAAATATATAAATGAGCATATATTCTCGCTTATTTGCCTTTATATCTGGCCGTATGTCTATCTCTCTGTCTGTCTTCCTGTATATCTCATCGGCTGCCTTTATTCTGTCGGCCTGACAAAACAAAGAAGAAGAACTAGAGAGCTCTAGCTAGAGCTAGAGCTAGAAGACCACTCAAGCTCACATGTATGTATGCAGCAGTATTCATTAGGAAAAACGAAGCTAGAATACTTGCAGCAGCAGAGAGGGTTCCCATTGGACCCCTAACTGGCGTCGGTGTCAACATTTGAGCGCGACTTCGGCTTTGAGTGAAAGGCGTCCTATATAAAGGGCAGCAGCTGCAGCATTTCTTCAGTCGCCCAGGTCGGGTGGGGATCAGTTGTACAGCGCAGTAAAGTGAAGCGAAGTGTGTGATCGTTCAGCTAAGCATTAAAGACTTGTAGCAAATAATTAAAGTAAACACTTTCAAGAAATTTTTAGAGGAAACACTTAAAAGAACTCTTAAACGAAACACTTAGAGAAACAAAAAAAAACTTAGAAGAAATTCTTACAGGAAGAAATTCTTATAAAAAGCACTTATAGGAAATACCTAGAAGAAATACTTAAGGGAAAACTGATAGGAAATACTTAGAAGAAATTCTTTAAAAAAATACTTAGAGTAAACATTAGAAATACAAGAAATACTTAAATCAAATATAAATTCTATTATATACACCGTACAAAGATGTAGAAAATGAATAATTTTATTACTAGTTTTCGATAAGGCTTTTAAGCTATAAAAGAAACCGGGAGTAAAACATTATATATATAGTTAATTGTTCTCCCAAAAACTGAGTAAAATAATAATTTAAGGCTAAAAACGACCACGTTGTCGTTTATGCGGATAAAAGACGAGCTGTTGCCATGCTACTGCTATTTACTGTCCAACCTTTGTTGCCAAAAGCAGAGAGATAAGCTAGCACTAAATTTAAATTGAAAATTTACCAACAATAATACAATTTTAAATTTAATACAACTTTATTTACATACTTTTGTATGAAAGCATATATATTTATATAAAAAAAAAAATCCGAAAAACACAAAATATAATTGCAGAACATACAAATTTACGCCCTCCGGTTAATTGCTTTTAAAATTTATGAGAAGAAAATGCCTGCAGGTTCTTGTTGTTGTTGATGTTCCATCACACGCATTTCGCTTTTTATCCAGCCCCAATTGCCTGGGGACATTTGCTCCAGATTTTTAACTGTCAATTTAATTTGTTTTGCCATTGTCACTGTCTTTTGTCGAATTCATCTTAAAATGTACAATTTATTATTTTATGCATTTTATATTACGTACGCGTCAAGCAACATGTTGATAACAAATGTAAACATGACTTAGGCTCTCTCTCTCTCTCTCTCTCTCTCTCTCTCTCTCTCTCTCTCTCTCTGTCACACACTCTCTAACACAAACACACGTATTCACGGCGTTTCATACAGCCTGAAGAAAAAGTTCGTACACACTTTCCATGAATCTTACAGCATGTGAGAAATAAAAGCAAATTAAACTAAAGACATTTGAAATATATATTTAAATACATTTTATTCTCATTGCTTTCAGTTGCTTTGCCTGCTCTCACTTATATTGTACACAAATTACACAGACAGATTTGTTAGAATAGAGTACAGCATGTAGCATTTAAATGTTTTCAGCTTTTAAAATTAATTATCAAATGCATTAAACGGTTTCTTTTTACATCTAGAGTACATACATATGTTATATATTAAAGATGCACCTGCGGTGGAATACATCTTTGGGTATTGTTCTCATGTTTTACTTGAATGCTTCTTATATATATTTATCCAATCAAGGTTATATTTCCATTACGTTAACGCTTTTAATACAAGGCAAATGCACAAAACTTTCATAAAGTTTATCTTCTATATATCTTTCATCTTTAGAACATTTTGAAAATTTATGTTATACATATCCAATGGCATTTGAAACTGACTGATTTTGGTGGCACAAATGACTGACTGACTGATTGACTGACTGACTGACTGACTGACTGATCGACAACTGACTGTTAATATATACCAACAAAGGCGTGACTTGCTTATTGTTAACACACATTCCATTTATATATAGTATCAAAAATACTTTGTATGACTTCATTTACAAATTTTAAAAAATATTTAGATAATACCGTTAACAAAAATACTTGACAAATAGGAATTTCGCTTTTCATTTTTTGACAAATTCACAAAAATAGTTTATATTAATTTGGAACCACAAATTAGGTTATTTGTATGCATATATGTGTGGATTTGTATTTGTGTGTGTGATTTAGTGTCTGTGCGAAGTTGTTTTTCGGTGTGTGATGTGCCTTATGCCCAGTCCTTCTTGATCTCAAAGGTCCAATCCCATTTCAGATGTATGTGCTTGTCATCATCCGTGAATACCGATGAAACAGAGTAGGTGCCCCTCGACACCATGCCCGAGGGCGCCTCCTCAGCTGGCGTCAAATAGAATTGAATTTCCTTCTTGGGGGGATAGGAGCCAACCATATGGGTCATTTTATCCACTGCGATAAAGCATTAAACAAATATAATTATAAATAATAATGTATATTCATAAAAATCAACAAAGCAGGCTTACCAACAACTTAAAGCAATAAAAATTAATTATCCAGTATGTGTTAGGCATTAAAGTTATAAAGATATTTTGTTAATATTGTCTCAGCACATTATTAAAGTAAATATAGCAAATGTTATTAGTACAATATAAACCACACTAAATATGCCGCAGAGCAAAGCTGTGCCATCGAAACTGCTGCCCATGTTTATTATGAAATAGAAATGTGTTTTGCCTGAAGGTATAAAACATACTAACTACCTAGGGCACGACAAACCCAGCCGACCATGACAATCTAAAGCCCTAAAAGTGCGGCAGAACCGAACGACATTTGTCAAATGTTACACAAGCCTGATTAAACATATTCTTAGCCATTTTTAGTTTCATGTATATACATGTTTACTATAAATAGAAAATATCAGTTTATCGAGATTCACAGTTTCTGATTTCTTATGAACGTATCGGTAACAAGCAATTGTTATGTTGCTCATTTGGCGAACGATATGCTTACCTGGCACTCCCATTCGATAGGTCTTTTGCACATACTTAAGGCCATGAACAATTTCGCGTTGCACAATAAAATCGATGCGCACCTTGTATTGAACACCTTCCTTAATCACAAAGATCTACGGAGAAAGTCCAACAATGAGTTAACTCTGCATATGGTGGCATTCTACAAATACTCACCTGCTTTTTTAGGTGACTAATATCTCCACTCAAATCTAATTCCATATCATCGCGTCCTTCAACGACAAGCGCCAGTTTCTTAACAATCACCTTACGGGGATCATTGGGATCTTTTTAAATAAATGAAGAAACGCACAGTTTTCTTATTATTCGGTTATCAACATTTATATGTCTCTATATTTACCAACGATTATAGTTTCCGTTTGAGCTGCACCCAGCAAAGCCTCCTTATAGCGACGCAAACTTTCATCTTCCTGATCGGCAGCCATTATCTCCTCGATTGTCTTCTCGGGTGGAGCCTGATAGTTGGCATCATGCACATCCTCATCATGTGGGTCGACATGTTGGTGCGTCTCTGTTTCAGCCATGGCAATCTAACTGAAAATATTCATATTGAATACAAAAAATTATAAGTTTTATACCATTGTAATCAATAGCAATAATATGTATATTCGGATTATATGTGTTGCGATTGTTAAGATATGGTGTACTCTTATAAAGCTTATTTACTGTTGCCCATCGCATCACTTGGCTGTCTAAACACTATTTGTATATATGTATACTCCAAATGTGCAAAAGTTTGTATAATTTCTTGACGCTCAATAATATTGATTAAAATCGAATTATTAACGCATAAGTGAGCGGCGCTTAGCCACAGAAAGAAAGCTTGCCAACCCATGGATGCAGCTGAGCTTGTATGCAAACATAAATACATACACATATACGAAGCATATATATATACATATATAGACTTGGCCGAATACGGGCCTGCATGGGCAGATAAGGCAAAACACAAAAATATATATATACACAGCAATAGAGCGAAAAGGCATGAGAGAGCGCTCGGCCGGCATTGAACAATATTGACCAGAATGGGTTGGCTGCTATCGCCCCCCACACGCATACACAGAGTCACACACATACATATATAAACACACACACACACACACATTTAACATTTCGTTTTTTATCTGGTTTTTGTTGTTATTGTTGTCATTGTTGTTCATTATCTAAATACACGTTGCTTAGCTTTATGCCCATTTCCTTTTCTGTAAAACATTTAGTTTGTTCGATTTCAATTACAATTTACTTAAATGGTTTTTCTATATACATATATGCATAATCTACTAATTTAAATATAGTTGTTGACTTATTGTGGGCATAATAATAATAATAATTGGTATTCTGACGCATGGCCAGCGACAAACGAGATAATAAAGTTGTATTTTGATACAGTTTTGTATATTTTACTTTCAAACTTGTAGTATACATATACTAAAAAAAAAAAAAAAAAAAAAAAGCGAATTCTAAGAAAAAACGTTTTTTGGCAACACAAATTCCAGTTTGCCATTGTGTTTGAATTGGAATTACGAAACGAAAATTAATTAAGTGTGAATGCAAAATAAGCAGGCCAAAGGCAAAGCGAAATAAGAACACTCAGAAACAAGCAAACCACACGATCAAAAGAAACAAATTTCAAACACACACAAATCCAGACAAGCAATTGATCGAAGACCAATGGAGAAAAAATAGCTTAGAAGACCCCCCGTCAAAACTGTGAGCAATTCTGACCGAGGAAATTGTATTCAAGGAAAGTAACGCAGCGATGACGCTGCTGCTGCTTAGACAGCCTGATAAAATAATGCACGGCACGCAGCGGCAAAGACCCAGACGCATGAATCACACACACTAACACAAGCGCATACATCCGCACCCACACGCATTGGCCGCATAGGCCGGTGTTCTCCGATTATTGGCCAGCAAAATATTTTCGGGAGTGGCATATCTATAGCTAGAGATAAGCGATTGTTCCAAAAGAATTTGTTAACTCAATATTGTTATTTTGCGTGCACGCACACATGTAAGCACATGTATAAGTTGTAAATAACAACTCACCTCTCTATTCTTCGAATACAGGTTTTAAAATTTGAATACGCGAATTTTTTTCCACAATATATTTATAATACAAATAATTTTTATACTTTGATATAAACAAGAAAAACAACAAAAAACGCGCAGCAAAAGGTGCAAGCTGTGACAATCTGATAGAGATGAGTGAGGACCTTCTTTACTCGATACTTTAGAGAAAATACAAACTTATCGACTTATCGATTCGTACATTTTGAGTAACTAATAAATAACAATTTTTTATAGATATATAAAACAATTATTGTAAATATTAAGTAAATGTCAGTTTAATCTATAAAAATCTGTTGTAAAATTATATTCCGATACTGATAGAAAGATGTTAAAGAAATTGTAACGCATTTTTAAACTACCGGGTACTTTAAGTGCTCTGTTCTGAAAGTAATCGTGAATGTAACTAACAAAAGCAGAAACAGCTGTAGAGAGATTACTTCATCGCCGCATTAAAGTCTTAACAATAATCAACAAAAAATGCAAACTTCCCAATACTTAAATCAACTACACACCGCCGACAAATTGTCCGAAGAGCCATGGCCAGAAGATGCGACGCTCTATCAGGTAAAATGAGAGCAGCAAAATAATTATTAAATATTTCTATGGTTTTCTATTCCCGCCAGCCCTTCGAAGCGGAACAGATTTTATTACCAGAGAGCGCTAGTTGCTTAGCTGTGAAAGCATATTTAAAAATGTGCAATTTGCCGTTTGGTATACGCACTTGCGCAAATGCGGAGCACATGTCACCCGGCGGTCGAATGACCAAGCTACCATTCATCCGCGCGGGTGCATTTTTATTTGCGGAGTTCGAGCCAATTGTGAATTTTGTGGAGCAGAAAGACATGGCCATAGGCAGCTGGCAAGATGAGGATGAAAAAGCAGATATGCGTACATATGTCTCGCTTGTAGAGAACATCTTCACTATGGCGGAGCTGTATGTAAGCTTTAAAAACGATCGAGTCTACAAAGAGGTCACTGCACCGCGAAATGGAGCCGTTTATCCGTGGCCATTGAATGTCATTCAAAATTATAGCAAACGTCGCAATGCACTGCGTCAATTGAAGGTCTATCAGTGGCACGATCTGGATATCGATCAAGTCATTGATAAAGTGGCCAAATGTTGTGAGACACTTGAATATAAACTGAAGGAATCACCAGATACACCCTTCTTCTTTGGCGACCAGCCCTGTGAATTGGATGCCATTGCCTTTGGTCATTTGTTTACGATCTTAACAACAAGGCTGCCAAACATGGCTCTGGCGCAAACTGTACAAAAATTTGGTCATTTGGTTTCATTTTGTCGCTTCATCGATGAGAAATATTTTCAAATGAGGTGCTTGCAAGAGTAACTATTAAATGGTTCACGCTCCTATCATTTTGTATATAAACGATCTATGACAATATCATATTAATTTGTTTAAGTTTCGCTTATTTTTAGCCCTCAATTGTACTGTTAATATTTATGTTCAGCATTTATCCACAACACTTTAAGTATTTACTATGCTTTGTACAATACAATTACCTTAATGCAGTTCGTATTTAATTTGTATCACGGCTTAGCTTCAACAAACCCCTAATTGAATTAAATAATTATTGGAATTTAACTTAATAACTCAATTATTCTTTTACAGCAAATAATTACTTTACCTCTGGGCGCAACTAAAAATAATATTTTTTCAAGAAAATTTAAATTAATGTTGATAGTAATTGTTAAATATTTTTTACAATAAATGTTAACTAAATATGAATATGATTTTAATTTGTATATTTATATCGAAGACCTACATAGTCGACTTGTTATTCTTTCGTACAAAGCTTAGTAAGATTTTTTAGCGTTGTATAATCACTCAACGCCTAACGGTACTTCTATATCGAAAGGTACAAGCAAAGACCCCTGTATGTAAAATAAACGGAATTTTGCAATCAAACCAAATTAAGTGGATTTTACTATATTAAAAATGGATTGACTAAATGGTTATGTCTGTTTCCCAATTACTGACGGTAGCAGAGTCGTACGCATCTGAAATACTGCAATTTGTTCTTTCCGTTGCCTTTTTACAGCAGCAGCGTAAATTTAATTTAAATCGTCATAACACAATATGCCCATCTCGAAACTCTCCATTTAGGCAGCCAAATTTAACATACAGCTAAGTAGTATTAACTGTGATAGCCCAAGGGTCCACAATCCAGCTCTGTTCACGCCACAGAAAAGAAACGTTTGAGACTTTAATAAATAAGCAACAAATTTGGGTGCACTGTAAAAATATATATGCAACACTTTATTCAGCGTAGCTTAAATAGATTTTGTTTATTCATTTCCTAAATGGTTTGATGGTTTGCATTTCGCTTTTCTGTAAACATTTTCAGCGCTAATTTACATAATATAATTTATAAATATTGAACTCGTATGGAATTCAATAGAATTGCATACATAAATTCATTTTGCAATGTACATGGTGTGTTTTTATAATATAATCAATCATACGTAATTATTACAATTGTTTAAATGGAAATATATGCATCGTAATCGTTAAGTATCTTGCATTCAAATATATTTATAAATATGTATATATATTTGTCACTGCATTTAATATTTATTTGGTACCTCAACTGTAAAATTGATTTTTTTATTATTATTTTCCTTTTTTTTTTTTTTTTTTTTTTGAAATGTTATTGAACACGCTACTAATGTCCAATACGCTAAACGGTACACAATTAACACAACACAATAATAATAATAAAAATAATTATAATAAAAAATTATTCATTTATGGGGAAGGTCGAAAACCGATTTTGTATAAAAAAAAACTCTAAAAACCAAACCAGAAAATCGAACGAAACGCCATCGTCCTCGATTGCCTCCTTTTCGTCCCCTTTCTGATGCAGTTGGTTTCTCAGTTGCAGCAACAGCAGCAGCGCCGCTTGCGTCAGCGCCTTTCGTACTTGGTCACTGGCACAGACAGACGCGTGCGCAGTCCATGGGACGGTGCTGCGGTGGTGCTGCTGCCCGCGCTGCTGTTCGACCTGCTGCGCTCCATTGCGGAGCGACGCCGCTTGTTGTTGTTGCTGTTGCTGTTGATGCTGTTGCTATTATTTGCTGGCAGTGAAAGATTATTGCTTTTGTTGCGCGTCGATGATCCGTTACCAGTGGCGTTGCCCTCGCTGTAGCGCTGCCTTTTGCTGATCACAGCAGTATCTGTATATGTGTGTGTGCGCGTAAGTGCGTGTGCGTGTGTGTGAGAGAGAGTGTGTGTAAAATAGTTGGTAATATGAATGCAAAAGTTAAATGCGATTTACGAATTACATTTTCTAGCTTAATTATCTTTAACGGGGGCAGTAGCACTCCCAGTTACACCAACATCAACATCATCAACATCATCATCAACATCGCCATCAACATCATCATCAACATCACCATCATTATCATCATCATCATCAATATGAACAGCTGCATCATCAACATCATTAACACCATTCCCATTGCCATTCTCATTGTCATTGCCATTGTCATTGTCATTGTCAGCAGCCAATACCTGAGGTGCATCCACAGCGGCCAGTTCTTCCAACTGTTCCACATCAGCCATTTCTGCTGTTTGCCAAAGCACATTGTAAAACAAATGTAAATCCGAAACAAACAAAAGATGGAAAACAAAGAGAAAGAGAGAAAAAAAACATTGGGCAATTTGCCATGATAATAATAAATTTTGATTCAAATTTTGAATAAGTTTTTGGTTTTTTGTTTTTTTTTTTTTCTGGTTTGCTGGTCATTGGCGTTATCAATGAGAACTTCCCATGGATATGACGATGACGTTGGCGCAGTGATCCTTAAGATGTTAGTGTAAGAGCATGTATGCATATAAATGAATTAGGCATATGGTAAGAAAATACATACAATTTGCCGTAGCAATAATAAACTAAAATACAGTTATTTATAGGCTCTTACTGTCTTTAGTAAAGAACAGAATAAAAAAAGAATACAAAAATATAAAAATATATAAGTGAAGAAGAAAAGTGTGGTAAAAGAAAATACAACGTAAAACATTTTGGAATTTGGGGTAATATAAGAGTTGTTCAAGGCACTCAATGGCCTACGCTGAAACTATGAGTATGATGAAGCAGAATGATTTGATTATGATGAATAATGAATGTTAAGTGATTGAGATATGTTAGGGCCTCGATGGGCCGACACTTACCTTTAGGGGGCAGTTTGCGTTTGGCTAAAGAATTGGCAGTTCTGCTGTCGGACGCACTTAATCGTCCGCCGTTGGCGTTGCGCTTGAGGCCCGGATCAGAACGTCGTTCGCGAGTAGTAGCCAAATTAGCAGTGATTGGTTGATCGGCACTCTTTTTGGCCACATTCTTGCTGCTGTTGCCGCCATTGGTCGACGAACTATCCTGGTCAAGCGCTGCTGCAGCTGCGGCGGCTGCGGCATTGGCTCGCTTAAGATTGGCCGGCATGCGTTTGGGTGGCTGCATGGCGCTGGCAGCGTTGCCCGATGAGGTAGTTGCTATATCATTGCTGGAGCTCGTCGCTGGTTTCTGTGGCGATCTTTGTTTCAGATCGTCCTGCTTCTTGTGCATGCCCACATCCAACCAGTATTTAAGTTGCGCCTCACGCTGTCGCTGCATCAACTCCTGGCCGGCAGCATATTTGCTAAGCATCCCCTGTAGCTTCTGCACAGTCTTGTAAACAGTCTCTGCCGCAATAAGGCCGTAATCGAACAGCGAGCACATGTGCAGTATAAAATTGCGATAGAGATTCTTACGTACAATCTCATGACCTTTGGCATCCAGGAACATTTCGCAGGCCAATGGCAGCTGGCAGTCGCCTACAAAGCCATGGCGCATCACATGCAGATTCCAAAGCTTCATTAGCTCCTTCTCGCCTTCGTTGACATCGGAGAACTCATCAATCATTTGTATGGTCTTTTGGCGCAGCCAAAGTGGATCGCTCTCGCCTTCCGAATCAATGTCCAGCTCTTTAGGATGCACCGGCAGGCAGGTCTCCGTATGATGATACAATCTATGTTAATTATATATCAATTTTCATCATAATTATCATTGTAAAGTTTATTGCTCACCTATTGTGCCCGGTTATATAAGAACGCTGATTGCTAATGTCATCCTCATCCAACTCTAGGAATTCATCGAGGCAGGTCTTCTGGCGCCTGGGCCTACATACCATCAAGCTAGTGACTGAGGTGCGTCTTACCGGACCGCAGGTGCGTGCAAACGATGAGCCCGATGGTCCGGCCAAATCATAGGGTGACCCGGCATAGGATCCATCGTAGGCATCATTGATGGTCACATCGATACGAGCACCGCTGCCCGCCGGCTGATACGTAAAATTGAAGCGCGCATGGCACAACTTGAGATGCTTTAAAAGTGCATACAGACGCAGACAATCTAGTCCACACCATGGACAGTTTAACTCCTGTGTATACTCCGTCTGTTGACGCGTATTGTTGCTGTACATAAAATTGTATACGATTTGTATGAGCTCCGGGACTGCTTTGCAGACACTGCCATTCTTAAGGCTGCTACAATTGTTATTGTTATTATTATTGTTGTTATTGTTATTGTTGATATTGACATGGTCCGCCTCGGTATCCAAATGCTGTACATAACGTTGTATCTCGGATGCTGCAATAATGTCGGGTAACTGCTCATTAGACAAAGTCAAATGGAATTTGAGCATAGGACTCTGCTGGTACACATCGTAAGTCAATGAAAGTGGAATGTAGCTGTCAGGCATGGTCTCCCAGGTGCATTTCTTTGGTGAGAACGATTTAATGCTCGACGAATTCAACGGCTGGAGCATTGCCTCGTATTCGCCCTCAGTGATAAAACCACTCGACTTTTCATACAATATTAACTCGGAGCCATACATCTTCTCATTGCTGCGCGATCGCTTGTTGGGCGGCGTTGCTGTGGGAAAGTAAAAAAAGTAAGTAATTTATGTTTAACTAATTTTCTCCACACTATCTCACCTGTATTTTCATCATTGCACGTTTGTGGCTGCATTTTGATACGAAAGAGCAGCTTGTACAGCGTATGCTGATCGCCCATGGGTCGCATTGTCTGCAGAGGGATGCTAATGGTTGCATGCTCATTGACGCCCTCATTTGGATTGTATACTATTTGGCAGCTCTTGCTCAACAGCTCCTGAAAATCCAGTGTGCTGTCCTTGCGCTTGCTGCGCGTGATTTTATAGAGCGTTGTCTCCACACAGACCCTTTCACCCGGCTGACAGAGTAGCTGATCCTGTCCCTGCCTCACCAGATCATCGGTGTCTTGTGGCTTGAGCTTCTCGTGTAGCGAATCGTAAATTATATGCAGGTAGTTTTGGGGTACAGCCTCAGACTTTTGTGTGATTATGTCCAAAATGGAGTCGATCTTGAAATTTGCACGTTTTTTGTTATTTCGTGACATGCGCTCCTTCATATAACTAAGTGTCCGATTTAGGAATATGGGCTGCATAATGACAAACACAATAAATACCTCAATTCGTATGCAAAAATAAATAATTAGCTTACGTTTGTTTCGTGTCGATTGCGTAGGTAGCGATAGATTTGTGTGGGTTCTGGAAAAGTTTATTGATTAGTAACACTGCAGCTGAATATGCTGAGAAACTTGCAAACATACTTTCAAATGCCTGTAAAAAGAGTTCCTGCTCTTGTTGATGACCATTCAGTTTCGTATGGGTTTCATTGTGGTTTGTTGTTGAATGGTTTGCTGCTGTTGCCGCTGCCGACGCTGGCGCTGCCAACGCTTCATTTGCGGCCGCATCTGCATGTCTGCCTCCATTATTCAGACCATTTATGTTGTTTGCCGCAACACCCGCATTATCGCCATTGTCCCTTTCACGTTTCTTAGTGGGTGCCATTGTTTTGAGGGGGAGGCGGAGGGTGCTACGTTTGCCTCAGTCGTTTTACAAACGCACCGCCGCTGCTCACACACGCACTAACACACTTTGCCCTGCTGCCTGCTGTAGCGTTGCTGCACTTTCAGCAAACACGAACTAACGCTGCATTTGTTTGTTAACACATTTTTATGTTTTGTTCAGTGCGTGAATTTTGTTTATTCCTTTTTTTCCGTAATTTGTTGCGTGTTTTCGCCTTTTTCTTTTTCGGCGCGAAACCGTATGCTTTGTGCAGCGTTTCTGGTGTTATTATAGGAGCCGTGTCACGATACAATTGAATGATGCGTGCTAATAAACTTAATATTTGGCTATATTAGAGTCGGAGTCATTTTCTGACCTATTTAAAATAAACTACAATTCCTGTTAGTTATTTAGTTACACTAGTCAAACTTTAATTAAATCAAAGTAAACTATTTATTTTTAAGAATTTAGAAATCGTACCGTGCATGTGGCCTTTCTGCTAAAACACACCCCCGCGGTGTTTTACAACATTGTATTTGTCTAAGTCTTAAATCAGCAATTATTTGATTAGTTATTTTTAAGAGATCCTTATAATGGTTCCAATTCTTAAAATACGGCTAATATATTGAGATTTATAAAACAACAGAATTTCTGTTTGTAATGCTTTGAAAATATATATAACATTGAATACATTGTCAGCTGTTTTCCAGTGTTGTATTTCGATGAATAACAGTCTCACATATTAACATAAAAGCGTGCACTGTTGGTTGCAGCTTTGAGTAGCCTTTACAAAATCGTCATAATTTTTAAAATAAATAGGTAAATATTGATATGTAATCCATTTGCGATCGTCTAAGTGTTAAAGGAAAATAGATAAAATATCCAAAGTAACTAATAACACTCAGTAATAACTTAACGTCAATTTGCAAACAGACACACACACATATACAATTTTGAACAATGCCTTTGCCTAATTTTGTTTAAAAAATTATTTTAGAGGCCCCAACCGGCAACTGTTTAAAATCTTGAAGAATTCTCTTAACAGCTAAGCATTTATCGTACAAAATGGATAAAAATAGCACAGCCTTGTATAAAAAAATGCAAGCCGAAGTTGAGTCATATCAAAACCTGCAAAAATGTAAGCAAATTATAAATATTGTATGCAATTTGTGCCTCTCATATGAACATTTTTCGATTACAGCTTGTGTTAAGGTCGTAAAGCAGCGAGCACTTCTTGAGAGTCAGCTGAATGAAAATAAGTGTGTGCTAGAGGAATTAAATTTGCTTGGTCCCGAAAACAAAGTTTTTAAGCTGTTTGGCCCTGTTCTGGTGAAACAGGATCTGGAGGACTCTCGGCAAAACGTTGCTAAACGTATTGAATACATCTCTAAGGAATTAAAAAGTTCCACGGATACACTGGAAAACATGTATGTTAACTGATTTCCATCACAATTGAAGTATATTAATTGTTTTTCTTTTGCAGGGAAAAGGATATGCTGAAACATCGGGAGGCTGTCTCTAAATACCAGCAGCAATGGCAAGTCGCGGCAGCCATGAAATAATAGGAACTGCTTTATTTATTATTTATTACATTTTGTCACTTTAAATAGACATACGCATTGAAAATCAAATAAAACCAGTTGAATACAATTATTGGTGTATTAGTAAGTGTTTCTAATTCATGTTCTATTATTCTTATTTTCCATTTGTTCCTCTGTTAATGTCATTACGATAAAATCGAATCTCGATAACAGTTATAACATCAGTTTCTTGCATCCCTGGTTGGTGTGCGAGCGAGATGCATTAATCGAGAGCATTTAAAACACTGAAAATTGTACCACAAAAATTGCCACGAAGAACAGAACTCTCCTTAGTGCCGCATCAAAATTAAACAATTGAAGCTGTATTGTCAGCAAATTAAGTCTTTAACATATTTGTTGCGAAAAGCGATAAAACAATGGGATCAAGTCACAGCGTTCACGTACCCGGCGGCGGCACCGAAGGTAAATTACCACGTAAACTGTGTCAATTGCTCTACAAGAATTGACAACCAATCATATGCATACACGCACACACTGACGTAAACGAAAAATAAACACAATTTCTGCATTTTCAAACACAACAATAGGTTACCACGTACTCAAGGTGCAAGACAACTCACCCGGCCAAAAGGCTGGCTTGGAGGCGTTCTTTGACTTTATAGTAGCCATAGCAGGCACTCGTCTGGACCAGGACAACGATATGCTAAAGGAGCTGCTGCGTCAGAATGTGGACAAGCCTGTTCGCATCACTGTCTATTCGAGCAAAACACAAACCGTTCGCGAGCTGACATTGACGCCTAGCAACAACTGGGGTGGCCAAGGACTGTTGGGCGTTAGCATACGTTTCTGCTCCTTCGAGGGTGCCAACGAGAGTGTGTGGCACATTCTGGAGGTGCATCCCAACTCACCGGCCGAACTGGCAGGTCTTCGTGCCTACAGCGATTATGTGATCGGAGCTGATGCCATTCGCCATGAGAACGATGATCTTTTCACACTGATCGAGACGCACGAACAGCAGCCGCTCAAAATGTACGTCTACAACCTGGACGATGATGCTTGTAGAGAGGTTACCATCAAGCCGAACACGGCTTGGGGCGGCGAAGGAGCTCTTGGTTGTGGCATCGGCTATGGCTATCTGCATCGCATACCTGTGCAGCCTGCACCTGCCCCGGCTCCTTCAACGGCACCTGCTGCCGCAGCTACACCCAGTGGCCAATCGAATCCTGTTACGCCGCCTGTGGTAGCTACCAACAGTGCTGTTGTCGCACCAACGTTGCCTTATATACCGCCGCTGGCAAACACATTTGGCTCGACCAACGCTGAGATTCGGCCACCAACTGTTGAGCCACCGGCACAGAGCATATTCAAGACCTATTTCAATCCGGATGATGCACCGGATGCACTAAGCGCAGCACTTGAGAACCAGGCTACAATTTCTGAGCCCCAGGTAGCAGCCCCTGCCGGCAACATAGCACCGCCTACAGTTCCAGCTCCAGCTCCAGTTGCTGCTGCTGCTGCTGCTGCTGAGGCTACAGCAATACCACAACCACAGCAACCAGTTGCACCACCAGCGAACATCTATATACCCGGCGTCTTCGATCCCAATGTCCCACAACAGAGTACGAATGTGAGCGTTGGCGGCATACCGGCCGCCCAATTGCCATTCCCACAAGCAACTGCAGCTACGTTGCCACCACCAGCCGTGCCCATGTTCTCGGTGGCCGGATTGCCGCAGCAACAGCAACAGCAGCAGATCTACATGACTGCACCGGCAGCTCTATCGTATCCAGCTGCTGGAGCCGCTGCCCAGACCGTGCCCACTTATCCGCAAGTGCAACCATCTATGGGCGGTTTGTTTCCTACTCAGCCAACACCGCTGCCGCCGCAGATGGCGCATGCATTTGCGCAGCCGCCACAGCAACAGACGCAGCCGCAGCCACAGCCGGCGCCAGCAACAGCAGCCAGCCCTGAACAAACACAGCTAGGAGCACCACCACAAGCAGCAGTAGCCGCACCACCACCTGCGATGTCAAGTGCTTAGGTTCCACTCACCAGATACTTGCGTTAACCATTTTGAACTTCAGTACGTTGTTGGCGACTGCATAAATTGTCGTTAAGTTTAATAATGTGATTTGTTTTTATGATTCTAATTGCGATGAACCGAAATCACAAGTGACAGCTGTCAAACATTTCAGTGCAAAATGCATAAATATAAAGCGATACATTTACATTTACATTTATTATTAAAAGAAATATATATATATATACATTAATATGCATATGTATACACGCTATATATGTGTATATATGCAAAGTACTGTAACATATGCATAAATTTTGTATGTGGAGAGAAATGCGCAATGCGAGCTACATCAAGGATTAGTAAACAATTTTATTACTTGTGCAATGTTTAATGATGTCTTTTAATTCTCTATAAGATATATGCTTTATACTAGATTTACTTTACCCATTATGTATAGCCCACTGGGCCAATCATCATCTCTTTTTCAGCTGTGGGACTAGAGGATTTGATGAATTTGTTATATCTAGGTTTCTCATATGACTATTAAACTTTGCATTTCAAGATTAAAAGCATAACAAATTGTGGATTTTTATTTATATAATCGTCTAATTAAGATATTACTGTTTTGAAGGTCAAATATTTGATGCGCCCCTACGTCCTTCTTGTCAATTATTTTATGGGGGTGACGGTTACGGTCTGATGTCTTTAGACTTGTTAGACTTAACAGTTCTTACCTTCTCAGCTTCGAATTTGACATTCAAATCACTTGTTGCTCTATTCGATATCAGTCCTCGAGAGAAATGAAGTTCGGTCTATTGATTGCAATAGTTGGTTTGTCTGTGGCAGTTGCAGATTATCCATCGAATGTAAGTGCTAATATAAAAAGAAAGGATTAATTGAATAATCACATAAATATTATACAGAATCCAATAGAGCTTATTACACAGTTGGTGCAGCTGGAAAATGAGAATCAAAGACTTCAGCAGCTTATAGCCAACTTGGTAGAGCAAGTAGCTGACTGTCGCTACAAGAATCAACTAGTTGTACAACTAAGGATGGTGCAGGAAATACTTAAGAATAAGTGCAATTCAGTCGTTGGTGGTGGTGGTGGGGGATGTAGTAGTAATGGATGTGGCGGTGGTGGTGGTGGTGGTGGTGGTGAAGTAGTGAACCTTGGATACTTCCAGAATTTATTGAATGATGTGAGGCAAGCAAAACTCAACATTCAAACTCTAACTAACAATGCACATACGTTGCAATATACGCTGCTAAACTTCTGGAATCAATTGAGAAACAAGTGCTTTGGTTCATTTGAATATCCACAAAGTAGTGGATTAAGCAGAGCAGGAGAAGTCCAAACTACAGAATCATAAACGTTTCTTTGTGGACTAAAATGTACACTGCAAGCTACATCGATTAATTAACAATTTTATTCCTTGAGCAATATTTAATTGTTGTTTTATTCTCCATAAGATTTCCTTTCTACATTATATAGCCCACTGGCCCAACGTCGTATAAATTTGGATTTCCCATGCCTCTTCTTCTAGCACGATTCTAGACATTCCCTGACAATATTTTATAAGTCTAATGGTTATGGTCAGATGTCATATATTCAAATATTCCCTTCGGTCTATTAATTGCAATAGTTGGATTGAGACTAAATAAATTTTACGGCACTTATGTATGTAAAAAATCAGCTAATTGAAGATATAAAGGCTACGAAAGAGATGAAGATGTTGGAGCAGCTAGCACTGGATTCAGCCAGCAATTAGGGAGACGTAACTGAAGTCATTCAAGGTGCAAGGAACAATCTACAATCGACTCGAAACAAATTGATGGAATTGGGGGAACTAGTAACTGCCAAACACGTCCAATTAGCATGGAGTCATGGGAGTCACGGCTGGCAGGTTATGCAGCGAGAACTTCTGTAAAAGTTGGGACGAGTACCTCAGGGACTTCGGTACGGCAGCTCAGGCCTTTTGTATTGAGTGTGACGGAAATATGGATTTGTTATGCAAAAAAAAAAAAAAATTATTCTACAAAATTCTAAAAACGCATAACAAATTCGATTCTCTTCCGTTGATTTGGTCTGATCTAGCAATGATATGCTATGCATTAGAGCTACCGAGAAGGCATACATATATCACATTTATATATCAATGTAAGATATTGCACTTAATAAACTCTAAATGGATATACAAAAAAAAAAATGGAACAATATTTATATTAAGTTTTTATTTATTATTGTACGCCATTTGCGTTAATTGCCAAAGAAAAGACGACAATTTTTAAGGGAGTTAGGTATAATTTTGGGCTTTTCGTAAATGGGCGATAGTTGTTGCTGACATTATTAATAGACGTGAAACTACTTGACAAAATTAGGATTCTTCTTCAATATGACAAAGCCTTCCATGACGGGTGTTAGCGAAATATACTCATCGGTGGCCAACTCGGCGCGTTCGCCAATTGCCAGCAGCACGGGCGTGGTGTGTGTTTGGAAGCCGGTTATGGTCTTCGGCTTGCCCGCCTGGCCAACCACATCGATGGCAATGCCCACACGGACCGGTACCTGCAGCTGGTTGAGCTCCTCATCGAAGGTGATCAGCATGCGTGCCTGCATTGCGGGCACCAGGGTGTACAACAGATAATGGGAACGATTGAGGATCAGATTCTTGACGTCCAGAAGCGATACCAACGTGGCCATCAAGCCAGCAACGGCCATGGGATTCATTAACTGACGATCGCTGTGATACGGGCTAAGGGAGAGTGTGCCCTTGCCCAAATGCGTCAGACTCTGGGCAATGCGCACCATGAACAAATTGCTAGGATCCTTTGAGTGGTATTGGGCCAGCTGGCGGAGCATCGAGGCTAGGCGTGCATTATTTGTGCCAGCACCCACCAGTCCCATGGCAAAGATGGCATTGTGTGCCACCTCTGCGTCGCTGTCGTGGGAGAACTTGCTCAACGTATCAAGAATGTTCAGCTTCGGATTGGAGGCAGATATCAGACCCAGTGCCAGGGGCACGGCACGGCGAATAGAGGGCTCGCAGTAGCGCAACAGATTGCCGAACGAACGATACGCCATC